TGGTTTTTAATATGTTAAGTTCCCCAGATTAAAAAAAAAGCATTCTGTAGTGTTTAATTTGAAATCACATTATAGATTTGGCATGGAATTTTAATACAGTAACCAGACATTTTATGTCATTTGCTTATTTGTATTTTTTTCTTGCAACTTCTAGGTTTTACAATTCCAAAAGGGCAAGGAGCACTTACTTTCACCTCTGCGTTTCATACAACAGTTCTTACATATGTTAAGTGATGGGAACAATAAGCTTTTTACAAATATATGATTCTTTTTACACCGATGCCTTTCTTCCAACAACAACAAAAAAAGTATCCTTTACCTGGATTCTCTTTCCACACATTGTGTTTTGCTGTATTCTGTTTATTCGTCCAAACCCGCCTAAAACATTACCTCCTGTGGAAAGTCTACACTTGTACCAGCCCGGTCAGAGTCTCAGCCTCTCCCCTATATCTTCTGTGTTACTACCTGTAAGTCTCTATCATGTCCCTTACCCTCTTTTACTATGTATATATGTCTCTTCGAGACATACTAAGTTAGACTTCTTACCCAGCGTATTTCCTGATGATATTAACATGGTTTTTAAAATGTGTTTGGTAAATGAATAAATGCAATGAATGAAAATTGCTTTTGCTTTGCAATATTTATCATAATTGAAAATAATTAAATCTTTTTTGGCATAATTCTCTTCTTTAGATGAATGTCTTCCCCATCAGATAGCAAACGTCATGGTCAAAGACCATGACAGTGTTGTTTACCATTGTATCCTTAGGGTCTGGCATAGAATGGCTCATTTATAAATATTTATTGAATAAATTAATATTATAAATTAATTATATCATATTAATATTATGAGGCTATATAAAATATTCATATGAAAGGTTTGCATAGAGAAATTGCTGTACAAATGATCAACAGATATTTCAGGAAAGGAAATATCATTTTATGCTGTTTTGAGAACTTAAACTCCTTTTAAAAGTCATCAAGAGGCTGTGACCATAGCAGATGTCCTTCAGCAATGTAATATCTCTATTTTGCGTTAAGTCAAAATATGATGGGAAGTCTACCCATAAAACATTTATATGGTGCATATAAATAGGCTGTTAGTGATAGAAACAGCAGCCAACAGGTTTACTCTGTCAACAGAAATTTATTAACATGGCAAATAGATAAAATAACATATAAAATGAACCATAATCCTGTGTCATTTTCATGTCAACAGTCACTTCCAGAAGAAACTTTGCCATCATTGCATTTAAATGTTTATTTAGACTTAGAGTTGAATATTTATAGTTGTTTTTAATAAAGAGGGGTCTGCACAATCATCAAATATTTTTTAAATGACTTTCCAGGGAAATATATCCAGAGCAGCACACTTTGAAGGGAAAGTAATTCTGAAAATAAAGAAATCACAGGCACTCGGTGAATATGACGGAAAAGATATAGATGCCATTACTGAATAACAGAATAGCCATCAGTGACCAGGAAGTTACTATTGCTAATATATTATATATTGCCGCTAACATATGATCATTTATATTATCCTTATATGATTAACTACAAGCATCGATCCTAATACTAATATCCCAGTAAACATTTAATTTGAAATAAACCTTTTTAGATCCTATTAAGAATAAATTTGAAAACTAAATTGTTAGCCTTCTTTGGGAAACTTGGTTAAGATTCATTAATACTAATAAAAGCTAATACTTATTGAGAATTCACTATGCATCAGGTATTGTTCAAATCAATTTACACGTGTTACCTCATTAGTTGATCTTTATTATGATCTATGCAGAAGTCCTGCTATTATGACTCTGATTAAAAAGGGATCTAAGGCTCACATTAATCCGCACATGACAAGGCCTGTGTTACCAAAGTCAGCAAGTGGCAGAGTTGGATCTTGGAGCCTGTTTTGACTGTCGCAGTAGATTTTAACCACCGTGCTCTATTCTGTAAACCAAACTGTTAATGTAAGGAACAGATCTGGCTGAAATCTTGATCCGGAGACGGTTAAAAATACATTTGAATGTGAATACATTTTGGCATGGTATCACTTTACAGCTCTTTGCATTTTTGCATTTTTCATTCTCTCTATTGCCTGATTACTCAGATGATTTTGTTTGATGCAGTTAGTCCATCTTCCTAGACACAGATGACATTTGATTTTGAGACTTCTGTTCTATAACATCAAAGAGGTCAAGAAAATAGTCAATGTTGGAGTCTAGGAAGGAAAATGAAAGGGCCTAGGATCAAAAAGACTAGTTGAAAATCCAGCTCGAGTATCACTTTAAGGCTCTAGATAACGTCTATGTCTATATCTATGTGTGTATCTAACTATTAACGTTTCCATCTAAATTGGGATTTAGTGTAGACCTCATTTAGGTTTGACAATAGTAGCAATTTTTGTATGCAGATACCTCAGTTTGGGATTGTAGCAAATGGAACTGATTTAGAGGACACATAGGCGTTTTGTGATCTGGATTAGGAGACATCTGGTAGGGAGCATCTGAAAAAAAGCACTATAATAAGAAATGCAAGTATAATTTGAGATACAGAGCTTTATAATAGAAAAGGCCTAGGCTTTGGTGTCAGGATGACCTAAATAAAAATCTCAGAGTTTCTATTTAATAACTCTAACCTCTGGGAAACACGTTAACCATTCTGCTTTACTTTTGGCCTATAGAAGGGTGAGAATAGCAGAACATTCCTTTTTCTCCTAGGAAGAGTTTATGGAGTGCTGAAATTTAGTTCATTTAATTTTTTATACCTTAACTTTCTGACAGGTATAAAAACTATGAGTTTTGTAGTTCACTGTTTTTTTTCTTTTGAATTATCCTTTCTGCTCTTAAGTACAAGAAATGATTTTCATTCTCAATATTGTATTTTTCAGTTGTAGAATTTTCATTTATTATTTTGCATTATTAATTTCTTTGCTAAAATTCTCTATCTATTCATGCTTACTGCTCACCTTTTCCACTTAACACATCAATGTATTTATAGTAGTTATTTTAAAGTTCTTGTCTGTTGTTTCTAACCTCTGGAATATCTTTGGGTCTGCTTCTATTGACCATTCTTTCTTTTGAGAATGGGTCACCTTTTTGTGCTTCTTTGCATGTCTTGTAATTTATATTCAAGATATTGGTACAATAAGCAAACAACAGCTGAGACTGAATGAGTGGTATTATCCCCATTGAAGTGTATGCTCCTTCCTATAATCCATGATTGAACTGAGTTCTGGGAGAGGTTACAGTTTGGGCAAATTCCAAGACACCACTGGTTCCAAATAATTTGAAAATCCAATTAGAATTCTGCCTCCAGTACGACTTGGGATTTAAGCACCAGTAAAAATCTTGAGATGTCTCAGGGCTTGATAGTCCTGTTTTCAAGTCACCAAAAGGCTTTCTCGGCACTCTACCCCGCCTTTTATTCGCCCAGAGATCTCTCTGTCCTCCCTCTGCTCTTAAGGCTTTGGTGAGCTCTGCTATGCTCTCGGTGAAGGATCCATGAACTTGGTGGGATTTCTTTAGATCCTGCTGTTACATTTTCAGCCTTTGCTCTGTGTGCTGGTGAAGATCTAATGAGAAAGAATTGGCAGATGGGTAGAGACTCCCAATGCATCTGGAGCTCCTCAAGGTTCTAATGTGCCATGCCAACCTATATGTGACCTTTAAAGTTTGGATATTTTCTCCTTACCCTGCAAATCTCACTGTCTGTGTTGGACTTACATCTTCTCCCATTGTGTTTCCAGAGATTAACATAATAGACAATTTCTTCTCTCTTAGGCAGAGGTTATGATGCTCTGAAATTTACTTCCACCAATTTTTTGCATACCTTACTTCCCTTATGGTTATAAAAAAAAACTATATAAATGCTGTAATTTATCCTATTATTCTCTTTGAAGCAATAAGCTCATGCTTTTTCTACATTTTGAGTGAAGAAACCTTGCCTTAACCATTCTTAGTCACTGTTTGGTCACCTTTGGAAAGGAAACTTTGTGAAGATTTACATATAGCATGTAAAAATTACTTAGTATGGTGTCTGACATTGGTAGATGCTTGATAAATATTAATGTCCTTTTTCCATTAAGTCAGATATCAAGGGATGCCAAATAAAAAAGGAACAGCTGTGTGGGTTTTGCCTGAATCGTACTTGGAAGGGGTTAAAGTTGGAAGACAGAAAGGACGGATTGACAGAAAGGAAAATAAAAAGTGAGTTTTATCTGCTTCATTTATTTCTTTGAACCAATATTTATAAAAAGGTTTCTTATAGACTGTTCTTATGATATGGATCATTCTTAAAGAGACTTCTAAGCCAGAGATCTTGTGCTCATCTATTATTTAGTCCTGTGAATGTATCCATTATATTCCACAGAAACAAAGATGGTTATTTTCACTTAGGTGTTTGTTTAAAAGGAAATGGCAGATGAAGTGGGAGTTGTGGAAACATAACAGAATCTGATAAAGAGAAAACTAAACTAAGGAGCAAAACAAGCACAATGGGTAGCAAATTAAAGGGGAGGGAGAGTCCACAATCAAGGACAGCAGACAATAGCTGACAGTGTTTATGTCTCAAGGAAGGAAATGAATTTATAAACACCTTCTTGTTATGTACTAGAAAAGAGCTATAGATCAGCGTGAGGATTCACGTCAGCGGTCCACACCTGGATGGATGAATTGGCTTACTGAGAAGTGGGGGACAGATGACATGGGGAGGCTGCATTGTCAGTTACATCTAATCCCGCCTGCTTTCTCTTGATGGTGCGCATTTGCTCAGACCAAAAAGAGTCTTTTTGTTCAAACTGCTTTTCTCTCTCCGGGATAGCCAGATGGGTGACCCCAATAGGAAGATGAAGTAAACCTTTATGTATTAGGTTGTTGTGGAACGAAAGAATTACATGTCGGGGTTTGTGAATTTCATATCATCCAGCTTCACTGTGAATACATGATTCACAGAAACCAAAGAAGGACAGGGGAATAGAAAGCAAAGGAAAAAAATAAGAAGAGAGTCTTGCACATTTTATTTGGGTCAGTAACGAACTAAGAGCTCAATGAATTGAAATCCTGTGGGAGTGGGATCAGGACAGAATTTATCCATTTGTGATCTTGACCTATCAGCTAGGAGGTTTCTCAGCTGCAGGCGACATCAGTCGTTGCTCTCCAGAGGCAGCAACTGGGCTTGCATCGTCCCTTCTACAATTTCCTGCTGGATCTGGGAGCATTTGATTAAAAAAAAAATTGAACAAAACTTAAAGTGTATATACAGGCCAGATACTTTATTTATCCAAAAGGCACTTTTTTCCCCATGCATGAGAGTTTATGCTGTGTCCTCCGGTACTACATTTCCTCCTCCTTCATTTCCTGTAACTCGTGGATGGAAACGCTGCATCAGAAGTCTGCATCTCTGTGTAACTCGCTAAAACTGGGAATTAAGAATCTCTTAATTGCATGATTTTCTTTGCTAAATTACGTACCATGAAGGCTATTTTAATTACAAATACCAGTTCTAGCTAGTGTGTCTGAGGCAATCACTACTCTAGGAAGCACAAATGTGTTTTGAGTGTTTAATTAATTTATAGGCCACTGACCTTGGTAGCTATTTCATAACTTAACCTCCTCAATCTACTCAAAACCATAATCTCCTAAGCTTACCTGAATCCCAACACATATCACATTGCATTTTAATGGGGAAGTGTTCAGGCTATAGAAAAAAGTATACTGGCCTTGTTAACAATACCAACTCTGATACTACATGTTTGACATTACACAAGTTACTCTAAGATTCACTCCTTTCACTTATAAAATGGATATGATAATAAGCTTTCTGTTCCACATTTTTAGGGGAAGGGACTCAGTGTCAAGCAGAAGTTGATGGCACTAGACTGGGCTCCCTTAGGATTTTTCCTCTTTGTTTTGATTCAGATTCCTTCCCGTATTAATTCACCAATTTCTAAGCCTCTTGGGGAGCTAAACAGGACATCATAGTCATACTTTCTTTCCAGACAATGTAAGTTATTCATCATTTCTCTGATGTATACCTTCTTAAGTTCTCTGATTGGCTGGTTTAAATATTTGATAAGCCCTGATCTATGGAATTTATAAGAGCAAAAGAGCCATCACTTGTGATCTGTGAGGCTTGGATGAGGGACACCTGAGAAAATATTCTGTCTTATTTCCCAATTTAGGGTCATTGGTGGATATTAAATAATCCCTGCTGGTGGCTGTGCATATCAGAGATCCAGAGGGAAGAAGTTGTAGAATGTATGAATTTCCAAATGAGCAGATAAAGAAGAAGAAAACCCTTGCTACCTAATGAATGTGATTTCTTCTTAAACAAAGTTGGAGGGAAAACAAAATGAAGTAATCACAAATTCAAAAGCCCCAAACTCCATACTTACAGAATTTGATCTATCAGTTTAATGAAAAGTCTCTGAAAAGTCTGTCCTATTTCCAGAGAGCTTTGGTCTCTTGAATGAACATTTACCAATCTAATATCAAGCCCTGTTCATATGGCAGTATGGTCTACTTTATTCATTCTATATTTAAATAGTATGTAAAAAGATAATGATAGGTATTAACTAAGAGAGAAATAGTCCTTAATGGAACCAGGATCCTAAATAAACAATGACTACACCCTTATAAACTTCATGAAGGAGAGATGGAGTGTTCATGGGGAACAATATTGGCAAAGAAACACTCTACTATTGTCTTAAATTTAGGCTCCTAATTCCTATGTAGTTCTAGTCCTTCAAGGAATTAAAATTTTTTCCCTATGACAGGGTAGGACCCCAAGCAAGTCAGTGGCCTCCTCTGTCTTCTCCAAGTTCTTGCATCTCACCATCCCAAAAGCAAGGAAAAAAAATCCGGGACACACACATCAGAGGGAAAAGAAAAATATATTGACCTCAACGTCTAGAGTGTACTGTCCAAGACTACTCTCCCCAGACCTTCCTTTACTGGGCAGCCACAAGCGGCCCCAGAGCCCACCTAATGTGATCAGTTGTGATTTTGGAAAAACATTCTGTAAGTTGACAATGGAAGAAAACATACATGGTAATGGCTGGATGGATCTTTTCCCAAGAAGTAGTGGCCTTATTTCCATACCAGCTCCTGGGAAGACTATGTCTAATAAGAAATCTGGGGGCTGGACTTGAATCTACTTCCCCTTTGAAAAAAATCTACAGTGATGTGTATGATAGATCTCCACTTTCTATTCCACATATCTATTTTAATTCTAATCTTTTTTTTTTTAATTTCTATATTCTAGAAGAACAAGGAAATTTTTCTCTCAGTCACTGAACTGTCTTTCTATAGCTTGGGTTCTGCTGTTTATGACCTCAGTTGTGAATTTAAATTGTCCATATTTCATCTTAAGTTTCTAACATTTTAAATTAGCCTACTTACATGTGCTTAGCAATCATTCATGTAATTGTAGATTATTTTACTGCCCTGATACTGGATCTTGGCCAGTATATATTATATCAGATGAAGTTGCCAATTTTCAACCAGCTTTGATCTACAAAAGCAGCAATTTCACATGGTTTGATCAAGAAATAACACACGGTACACACCCATGTTCCTGTTTGCATCTCCCTTGAACTCTCTCACTTGAGATTTACCCCCACTTCTGCCTCTCATCTGCCTCCATCTCGAACATAGCTGTTTGTCAGTTGTGCCCTTCGTGATCTGGGAACAAACTGGAAGGGTCAAGGCAGACATGGCAATATGCATATTGAAGACTGAATAAGTGAATGGATTATGAGTAAGAGCTAAAACAAAATAATCACTTCAAGTATTGACTTCTTAGTTTTCTGTTCCACGAATATTTAAAGTTAGGCAGATTTGGGGGGGCCAGAAATCTGGGAGTGGTTTAGCTGCGTGGTTCTGGCTTAGAATATCTCATTTTGTTGTTGTCAGACTTAGTTACAGTTACATGAAGAGATATAGTTACATGAAGCTTGGTTGTAGATGGAAGATGCATTTCCAAAATGCCTCACTCACTTGTCTATTGCAGAAGTCCTCAGTTCCTAACTGGCTTTCGGTAGGAAGCCAAATTCCTTGCCACATGGGCTTCTCCTCATAACATGGCAGCCAACTTGCTCTAGACCCAGCATCTAAGAGGAACATGAGGTCATAGTGCTTTTTATGATCTACTCTCTAAAGTCACAAACAATTCCTTCAACTATCTTCCACTCACTAAAAATGAGAAGTCCAGGGGGGAAATTAGCCTCAACTTCTTAAAAAGAAGAGTATCAAAGAATTTGTGGACATGTTTTAAAACTACCACACCATGCATATGCAGTGCTCAGAAGCACTCAAATGATGAGTCTATGACTCTCAAATAGTAACTGAAGTTCAGCACAGGAATTTTTAGGCCTTTGCCTTGTACGTATGTGATGGAATCTATTTAATAGGTTAAATAAGCATTAAATACCTCTGCAAAATAATTTATAAAATTGAACATACGGGCAGAAATTTGCCTTGGTTTATTTGAAAAATCAAGATACTTAGATTCTAAAGCATAGTGTACATGATATAACATAAGCCATTCCTTTGTGGTTAGCTCACATCTAACTGCCATATGATAGTTCTACTCAGCTTCTGATTTTATTTAAATCTAAAATAATTGATGACTTCAACAAAATTCAAATAAAATTAGCAGAAATGTATTAGTTTTATGATGAGTGTCAGTGTGTGATGTAAAAGTTGTCAAATTCTCCTCTTTGCCTTCTCTCCTCATCTCCAAGGGAAAACACCAAGAGCTGAAGGAATCATGTCTTCATTTTGAAAGGAAGATTCTGGCAACTTATACCAAGATTGAAAAATGGTTTAAGTGATGCTTGTAATAGGACACTGTGGTACTAATGATTGTTTTCCTTCTAGTTTAATAAAGATCACATTTCCTTTTGCATCACTCACTTGCTGTACAGTCTGTTTCATAAAGGATTACATTATGTTATATTTGGGGAGAGAAGGGAGATCAGCATGGAAATGGCTGTCCTGGGTGACCTTCCTGGATGCCCATGCTTGCAGTGTGCTGGTGAGTAGGGTCTCTAGGACCTGCTACGGAAGCAATAGTCCCAACCATCAGCCCTCAGCTTCTTTCTCTTTTTCTTTCATTCTCCTCTTAGGTTTGGCAGATATCATTTAATTTGTTTTTTGTCATTGTCAATTAGGATTGGTCTTTTGTGGCAGAACTAATTCACCATCAGCTTTGATTTTTCTCCCAGGGTTCCTGTGGAGGTTCTTTGCAGACAGCTCAGAACTCTCTCCCCCAGATTCCCTCAGCATTCACCAAAGTGGGTCCTCCATGCTCTGTCTTGTTGCTTGGATTTCCTAGCCTGACAAGGTGGCTTTCTTGAGTGTGGTGCTAGCAAAAAAGCTGTAAGCCATGCAACCTTGTCTTCTTGTCTTGTGAGATATCCCTTCCTTGTCAAACAGTGGGAGAGTGGGCTACTTTCCTGCCACCCTTTAAGCTCAGCCTTACTGTTTCTTTGCAAGACTGAAAATTTCAGAGCAGAGTTGAAAAGCATGTGCACCCCCAAACAAATAAATAATTTGAATATATATATTTTTCATCACAAAGTTTTTTTAATAATTATGCTAAAATAAGATTAATGAGATCATTGCATATCATGAATCTCAACCAACTTAATCTATACAATAAAAACCTTTTAAATTGAGTGTAGTCAGGGGGTGCCTGGGTGACTCATTTAGCTGAGTGTCTGACTTTGTCTAGGGTCATGATCTCACAATGTGTGGGTTTGAGCCCCATGACTGGCTCTGTGCTGATAGCTCAGAGCCTTGAGCCAGCTTTAGATTCTGTGTCTCCCTCTCTCTCTCTGTCCCTTCCCCACTCACACTCTGTTTCTCTCTCTGTGTGTCTCAAAAATAAACATTAAATTTTTTTAAAAAAATAAATAAGCTGAGTGTAGGTAGAAATGATCTTAGTGAACAGAACTCTCTGTGTAAGTAAAATTTTTATAATTGGGAAACAATGTCTTTATTCCATTGAAGATTCCCTATCTATAATAACCTTCTCTGAAGTTAGGGAATTTTCTTTTTTTATTAATTTTTAAATTTTATTTTTGAGAGTCAGAGAGTGACAGCATGAGCAAGGGAGGGTCAGACTGAGGGAGATACAGAATCTGAAATAGGCTCTAGGCTCTGAGCTAGCTGTCAGCACAGAGCCCAATGCAGGGCTTGAACTTACGAACTGTGAGATCATGACCTGAACTGAAGTCGGACACTTAACCGACTGAGCCACTCAGGTGCCCCTGAAGTTAAGCAATTTTCACATGACTTGTATTTTTTTATTATTTCAACTAAACTGCAATGGACATTTAAATGGACATCCATTTAAAGTGGAACATTAGAAAGCTGGCCTGGATGCAGGAATGATTCTTTGTTAGGTGTAGAGCCATCCTATGTACTATCATACATGCTGTAGCATCCCTGGTCCTTGTCCCTGAATGTCAAGAAATGTCCCTAATGTCCTACCCAGTAGAACAACTCAATTCTCATAAATCTCATGAAATGAGACATTCCACTAAAAACTACTGAACTGCACAGAAAGAGTGGAGGTGACTGGGTTGGTTTGACACCTCTCAGTAGGGAGGTAGACCCCAATCAACTGCTTACAACAATTCAACCTAGAATATGGGACATATCAACTTTGGGGCTTGCTCATGATACTGCAACCCAGGAAAAAAATCACATTTCAGAAAAAAATCACACTTAACCACCACCTCAGCTTTTTCACAGAGGAATGTAGTACTTTAGATATTTCTTCTGTCTTCGATGAGTTGTTTATGCACATTTTTTTCTTCCAAGTTTTTATTTAAATTCAAGTTAGTTAATATATATTGTAGCATTGCTTTCAGGAATAGAATATAGTGGTTCATCACGTACATACAGCACCCAGTGCTCATCCCAACAAGTGCCCTCTTTAATGCCCATCACCCAATTTAGCCCATCCCTCTTTCACCTCCCTTCCAGTAACCTGCAGTTTGTTCTCTATAATTAAGAGTCTCTTACGGTTTCTCTCTCTCTCTCTGTTTTCATCTTATTTTATTTTTCCTTCCCTTCCCCCATGTTCCTCTGTTTTGTTTCTTAAATTCCACATATGAGTAAAAACATATGGCATTTGTCTTTCTCAGACTGATTTATTTTGCTTAGCTCGATACATTCTCGTTCCATCCACATCTTTGCAAATGGCCAGCTTTCATTCTTTTTTGATGGCTGAGTAATATTCCATTGTATACATATACCACAACTCCTGTATCCAATCATCAGTTGGTATGCATTTGGGCTCCTTCCATAACTTGGGTACTGTGGGTAGTGCTTGGTTGGAGGGTAGTTTTATTTTTTACCTTTTTGGGGAACCTCCATACTGTTTTCCAAAGTAGCTGTACCAGATTGCATTCCCACCAACAGTGTAAGAGGATTCCCCTTTTACCGTATCCTTGCAATACCTGCTGTTTCCTGATTTCTTAATTGTAGCCTTTCTGACAGGTGTGAAATGGTATCTCATTGGGGTTTTATTTTAAATTTCCCTGATGATGTGTGACGTTGAGTACCTTTTATGTGTCTATTAGCTATCTGTATGTCTTCTTTGGAAAAATGTCTTTTCGTGTCTTCTGCCCATTTCGTAACTGGATTATTTATTTTCTGTGTGTTGCACTTGATAAGTTTTTTATAGATTTTGGATACTAGCAGTTTATCTGATATGTCATTTGCAAATATCTTTTCTCATTCCATAGGTTGCCTTTTAGTTTTGTTGACTGTTTCCTTTGCTATATGCACATTTATTTTTGCATATCATTCTCTGCCAATAATTCCAAATACACATTTAATTTTGATTCCAGAGGGTCTTGACTCTGTAAGTTTTTGTTTTCTTAACTATCTGAAGGAGGTTCGCCTATCATTTTTTAAATAAGGACCACAATCAAAATATATAATAATTCCTCATAAACATTTCCACTGTTTTGATGGATGTATACATCTAATAAGGTAATTTTTATATTATAAACATTTTATTTTATAAATTTTCCAAACTAGGTGGTGGGGATTATGTGGGATGTTCTTGGAATTTGAGCTTCTGCTGCAAACCAGAGTTCAAGACCTCTTCCCCCTTCACCATATTCCTGAGGTTAGGAGTATCTTGTCAGATTATTGACAAAGGTCATCTAAAGAAATGTTTAATATTGTGACAGGATTACAGAGAAGCATGCTCAGAGTTGCAGGAAAGGTGTGGCTATGGTACCCTGGGAACTTCAAGGCACTATTTCCTTGGTCATAGTGTCTATCTCTGTGACAGACAGGGTCAGATGTTGGATATTGGATTGTGCCTGCACCAGGGTGAAGGTGGAAATGTTTGATGTCTTATGCCACTGGTAACATTTCAAAGAGAAGGATGCTTGTGGATGCCAGGTGCAATACAAGTAAAAGATATTAATGTTTCTAACATTTTAATTTTTTTTTTTATTTATTTCTAGGAGAGAGAGAGAGAGACAGCGTGAGCAGTGGAGGGTCAGAGAGAGAGGGAGTCACAGACTGAAACAGGCTCCAGGCTCTGAGCTGGCAGTCAGCACAGAGCCCGATGCAGGGCTCAAACCCATGAACCGCGAGATCATGACCTAAGTGAAAGTTGAAAGTCGGACGCTTAACCGACTAAGCCACCCAGGCACCCCTGTTTCTAACATTTTAAAGAAATAACTCAGGATGCAAAATGTCAGTTGCCAGTAAAAACAAAGTTCTATAATGAGAATTTACAGAATGTCCACAGATATACCATGTGAAAACTGATTTCAAAATTACTGTATTCTTTCTCTGTGCCCCAACAGGAAAACATGTTTCCAAATCATCAAAGCCAAGAGTTTAGGAGCCACACAATTTTCCCCTGCTTCATCTTCATAGAGGTAAGAACATTTTGGAAATCCACCTTTAGAATATATAGTATTTAAAAAGTATATGCTATCCCTTTAAAAATCACTCCAGGTATCCTTCTCTGTACACATTGAAACTAATTGTAGAAATCTGTAAAGCTCTGGGCTTCTTTTCATCTGAAATGTTTCTTGGTTATGGAGATTACAAA